CAATTAACATTATTATCACACATCAAGTTTAAGACAACAAACTTTTAACTTTTTGTTTATTTGTTAGACAACAAAAAAATCACTGAAAGGCCTAACCTGTAAGTTGTAATCCTGAAGTATTTTCACTAAAGAATCACGAAGACCTGGAATCTCCATGCCCTTCTGAATCCGACTGATGACCTTGATTGGATCAATGTGAGCACCCACATTCTGAAGCAAGGCTGTGATAAACTCTGTAGAAGCAACACAGATCCGTTGAATATTCTTGAAACATTTCTATGCTTTATGAAATATTAAAGTTTGCTCTGGCACTTTTGACTGCTGCCTTATGCATTCAGTGTGTTTGTATGCTGCTGAATTTGCTACAACTTCAGTCTACCAATTTCTTTTTACAAGGAACAGTGATGGACATTCTGTGTGGTTTTTGTTGCCGCTGAAACGGACAACTATGGAGTGACCATTTGCTATGAAGCTGGAACTTCCTTCCAATTACATTATGTGACTTTTTTCTCTCTGAAGTGCTTAGCATTTTCTGAAGTGAAAATTAATCAGTTCTATTTCATTTTTCTGTCTATGGAGACAGAAATGCTATGGCTAGGTAACTGCAGAACTGTCCTTTGACTGGCTGCAACTCTGCTTAAATATGCCCTGCGGCTGTTTTCGCAGTTGCTAGGTAAAACAAAACAACCTCTGTATGTTTTCAACCTAAATTCCATAACTGATGTCATCTGGATGATTTGACCCCTGAACTGTACAGTTTATTTGCAACAGGTAATCATCAAATCATAACAGATGTCAAATTTGGCAGGAGGCAATTTGTTTGCATGGGGGTTGTCAGAGAATTCAATACTTAATTGAATTGATTAATTCTGTGTTTATTTAATTAACTGCACAGTAAGAGATTCACCTGGTGGTTTAATTCATGCCAGGTCGCTGTAACCATTTCTCGCTCTGGCGGGTAAGCAATTAACTTACATAATATCTGGTGAAAGTTAATCAGTGAGTGACAATTATAAAAACCTGTTTCAAGCGACTTTTGTTTGCAAGGATGTATACCTGGTTATAAGAGGAAGGTTTGAATACGTTTGTTTTATAACTACATCATGCAGAGCAACAAGGAATGCATTTACACCTACATAAAGTGGGAGTCGCCGCAGCCGAGTGGCTAGACGCTCACCACGGATCAGAAGGTTGTGGGTTTGCTCCCTGGCGGAGCCCGACTTTTTCAAAAATGACATTGGCTCTCAGGTCGACCCAGCCTTGAGTGGGTACCGGATGCAGTCCTGGGAAGTAGAGGCGGCGGGCGTGATGCTGACCACATCACCCATCTTGTGCCGATTGGTCTATAAAAATATAGGTCTAGCCCTATATGCCCTATACGCCTAAAGGTGTGGAAAAGGGTCCTTTACTTTACTACATAAAGTAACAGAGTATGTACTGTTACGAGAGATTTTTCATAGCAGCAACACAAAGTCCAATCTTGTATTGTTTGCCCTAGTCCAGGAACTATCATGATGTTGACCACATCACTCGTCAAAGGCTGATAGGTCTATAAAGATATGAGACAAGCATCACATGTTTGATGCACCACTGGCATAACAAAGATCTTTTACTTACTTACTACTGGACCATGCTCTGAATGACTATGCAGAGACCACAGAGAAATATGACATCACTAGTAACTGGGGGCTTCTGAAAACAGATTCTTGAAAACAGTCAATTCAGAAGAATTAGAACCAGGTACATATTCTGCTAAAGGCTTATGTCATATCTCTAAATGGACCCTCCAGTGTTGAACAAACATTGTGAAACTGAAATCTGAGAATGAGAGTCTAAGCAGTATTTAAATATAAAGAAGAAAGACTAAATCAGGATATGGTTTAAGAAAAATATGGAATTACTGTGATAAGAAATTAATTATACTACAACTGGAACAAGATAACTGAAGATAGAGAAAGACAAACATGGAGTGTGCAAGCTTATGAGATAGGCTGAAGAAGAGTAAATGTATGTATGCACAAATATTGTATATCTCATGAAGCTGAGACAGAAGCAGAATAAGTGAATGCATGCAGAGATAATTAATATCATGAAGATCAAACAAGACAAGGCACAGAAAATATTTTGCATCGAAATCTTCTAAGAAAAAGAAAAAATCACATATTATCTCTTTCATTTCATTAAAAAGAAAAAGACATACAGACTGATACACAACACCTACTAGGCTTCTCCATGGCATACTCAATGAGATTTTCCCACAGCTCCTCATCATCTTGCTCCATACAAAACTGGATAGCGTGGTCTACATCCTGCAATCTCTCTGTGATCAACTTCAAGGCCTGCGTCAGATTACCCATGCGCCCTGCAGAACATAATGTTGGTTCAGTTTAAGCATAACCTCTTGATATTTACATTATTTTAGACAAGCTGCACAGATAGCCTCCAATTATTAGAACAACTGAACCCACACAGAAGAGCAGGTTACTTCATGACCACGTGTAGCCAAATATAAATAAATCTTTTATTTGCCTGATTTCGGCATCCTGAATTTGCTACTTCATGATTCACATCTGGAAAGTGGCTCTTTGAGTCACTACGTGTTTTCCTGTGTGGGTTCCAGGACCCCACTGCAAGAGGAAACAGAAAAGATCCACAGTCCCTCTAACAAGCATGTCATAATAGTCAACTAATTTGGAATATTTCCTGTGAAGTCAAAGTGCATCTCTGCCTGAGAGGCCAGGAACCAACAGTATACATACAATTAAGTCAGATCTGTAAAACAGATGTGCATGCAAAGCTAAAGTTCTGGAACAGGACTAGTCTGGATGTTGATGAACAACCAGAGCTTTCTACCAGAGTTTACATCCAGCGAAAGCTAAGAAGAAGTCACTGGGTGTTAATCTTTCAGGCTGCAAACCCAGAGAAGAACATTTTTAGCATAAAAGAACTCATATTACAGAATTACTTGATCAAGAGATTTCAACTATATTTAGCTATCACCGGACATCAAACAAAATTAAAAATTAAAATCAAAAACCACTTCTGTATTTGTCTGATGCTTGCCTGACTGGACTTAATTCCTCACTTGCAAAGATTTGTATTTTATAATTAAACCTGGCTTCCAGGTTAACCTAGCCTAAAATTTGTTCTAAGAAATGTCATGGGAAGAAAAGGCAGCAAAGTTGTCAGCATGATCTTGACCACATCACACATTGGCTACTTTTTATCAGCCCAATGGACATTATATTTCCCTGCCATTTTCTCTGTGGTGCTGTAAAGATCCCTGAGGTTTGCCTTTTGCTGCTGCAACTTCTGTCTCTCATGCCAGGCAAACTGAACAATGTCTTTTATCTTTTGTTAGCCAAATTTGCAGTTAATGTCTGTGGCTTAGGAGATGAGAACATGCCTCCAATTTCAAAATATCTGTTTGATTCCAGCTGCAGGCGATAGGCTGCAGACTGCTTTGCATTTAAAAAATTTTAAAATGGAATTAGAGCTGATGTTCAGAAAGCAATGGCAAACTACAGAATATAAAAGTGCCTAGTAAAACCAACCAAAGAACCAAAGAATGCTGATGTTGGTTCTACAATGCCCCGTAGAGGATATCCAACAAATACACTTTTTCTTCTTTTTTTTAAGGGTTTCACTACTTTTATTTCAATGTCTGGAGGGGGTAAATGCTGCTGTTACTGTCGTAGAACTCTATTAGTGCTTTCTCTTGTCTCTTTTAATTAGTTTGTAAAACACAGGTCTAGCTGGATATACTCAATATAGCTAAGGGCATGGAATATAGTCCTTCCTGTACAGGTTGACTTTCACTATGAGCAATATTTTCCTCTGTAAAGTCATAAAATAGCACTGTTTCATGTGTGTTTATAGGCTTTTTGTCTGCTCTATTCTATTCTGTGTCGGCTCTGTGGCTAAGTCGATGCGAAGCTTCGTAATGCCGGGATCGATCCCAGCTACGGGCCATGCGCCTTGCATTGGTTTCGACAGAGGTATCAAGAAAGCCGACCATCCAGAAAGCAATGGCAAACTACTGGACGTAAATTTGCCTAGAAAAACCACACAACAGCCAGGGGTTGTTGTGGTTGGTTCTGCAACGTCCTGTAAAGGAAACGCAACTAACCTAATTTCTATTCTGTTCCGAAGAATCCTAAATGATATTCTTATGATATTTCATGTCTTTTACAACTTGTGCTGTCCTTCCTAGTTTATGCAAACTTCTAACATTCCACTGCCAATCATAATTATAATGTAGATTTGGTGTACCTAGAAGAAGGAGACTTTATTACAATCATTCCCAAGGCTGTCTTATCTCTGTCAGTCCGTTTCAGTAACTGTATCCAACAATATCAGTTAAAGAGTCGGATAAGATTTGTTTCTGCTCTCAGGTTGACCCAGCCTTATCAAAATGGCTACCATAAACTTTCCAGAACAGTCTAGATGGAAAAAATGACAAGAAAGGAAACTGTCCACTACATCTCATACGTCATGGCCTAGCTCACCAACAATAGTTTAATGCTATCGTCCAACTGTGCCCAACGTGGTCTGCATTGTGAAATGTAGATTAAGAAAATGATGAGTTGCCTGTTGCCAAAGGTGTGGTGGTTCTTTATGCCACAAATTGCATGTGCAAATAATGATCTGTGTGACTGCTGTTTCTAATGACGGTAAACTGCATTTCTAGTGTCAGAATGTTTGTGTTGGTACTTCTTACAGCTACCTTATGCATTTAATGCATGTGTATGCTACTTACTGGCTTGCTGAAACTGCAGTCTGTATCAATTTTTTTTTTCAAAGGGGATAGTGATGGAAATTCTCTGAGATATTTCTTTGGCACAGGACCAGGGCAACTATGAGGTGACCCATTCGTTATTAAGTTGGAACTGTGATTACCATTATGGTTACCAGTTAATGCTTTTACCTTTAATACAATATTTAAGCCCTTTGACATTACAGAAGCTATATGTTCCTCCAAATGTAAAAATTTCCCTCACCTAGTAAAAAAACCTGCTCTTTAATATAATCTCTTGCCTCACACTCTTCCCAAGCAGTCTGCAGTGGGTAGAATTCACTGCGACGGAGAAACGGAAGGAGCTTTGGACGATCAAATTCTGCATACAACCTGACTAGTTGTCCATGATATCCTTGTGTCCCCTGCAGGTCACGTTGGACCAATTGATCTAGGTACTAGGGAAAACAATAATGAGTAATGTTTACACTTTGTTTTTTTAATCGAATTTACATAATGCTAAAAAAAATACCAACTGACAATACACTATGTAACAATTATTCTTTTCTGACTTCATCAAATTTATTCATGTAATTTATTTTTCAACTGCTATTACTGCCTGTATTTATTGCATTTGGGAGTTGCCGTAAGGTTGGCTGCTAGATGTGCGGCTGCTGATCGGAAGGTCGTGAGTTTGCGCCCTGAGGAAGGCAGGCTTTCTTCAAAAATGACCTTGACTTCTAAGCTGACCCAGCCTCAAGTGGGAACCAGGTGCAGTCCTGGGAAGTAAAGGTGGCCGGCATGATGCTGACCACATTTCCCACCAAGTGCCGATTGGTCTATAAAAAATATAGGTCTAACCCTATATTCCCAATACACCTAAAGGCATGGAAAAGAGACTTTTATTGACCGCATTTGCAGTGTAGACGTGGCACTCTTGCCTTAGGCTTTAAGGCCTTTCAGGCAATACACGAAGGAAGATAGAAAGCTCCACTTAAATTTCATATGCACATATTACAGATGTTATGGATTCATGGTTTTAGTGACGGCATGATATTAAGGGTTGATATTATTAAGGTCTAGCTGATCAACTTGAGATTTAAAACGTTAGTAATTGGGATTTTAAATGTTAAACTAGATAGTTCCTGGGACAGAAAAAGTTAAAATCACAAACTTCTATCAGTTGTGCAATTTTCATACATTAAAAATGTCTGAACAATTTTAAAGCTAAATCTAACAGCAAATTCTGTCACTTACCACATACAGGTATCTCTGTGACTTGCTTAGTTGTTGGACCACTTTTTCAGCCTGCATAATGGAATAAATAAGGTAAAAAGACAATTACTATTTTGACCAGCTCAAGCAACAACATTAATATCACAAATATCTACTATTACAACCACCTCAACTATTTATCTTAATATCCCAACTATCTACTTTCACAACCACTTGCCCACTTATCTTAAAATCACAACCATTTACTACTATATTTACTACCTTCAAAAGGTAGCCCTGTAAACAGACTATATAAATACTTCACTTTACAATGTTAGTCACGTCCAAAATGCAGCTTTGTTGATCAGCTGTATCACTCCACTTCTACAAGGTGACCCTAGAGATATGATATCACTATTTGACCTCTACAGAGTGACATGTAAACAGTCTGCATCACTATACCATTCCAATATGATGACATTTTAAGATGGACTTACCTACAAGTTGTATCACTTCTTCACCTTGAAATGTTGCTCCTGTAGACAGTCAGCATCATTAGTCCACCTCCACAAGGTGGAGCCTGTGGACAGGTTGTATCACTATTCCTTCTCTACAATGTGGCCTGTAAACCAGGCCGTATCCCAAAATCATCAACAGAAGGGGACCTGCAGGAAATCACTACTTCAGCTCTAAATTCTGGCCCTGTAGACAGACTACAACCTCTAAAAAGTGACCCTGTTGACAGGCTATGCCACAACTCCACTTTGAAAAAGTGGCCTTGTAGACAGGCTGTATCACAACTCCAATTAAAAATTTGAAAAAGTGGCCTTGTATACAGAACACTTAAAAAGGTGGCCTTATAGACAGGCTGTACCATAACTCCACTTTGAAAAGGTGGCCTTGTAGACAAACTCAGGTAATTGTAATTCCACATTTATTGCAAACGGGTCACCCAAAAGCTGCTTTGTTCCTGTTCCAACAAAGACCACACAGAATGTTTATCACTGTCCCTCATGAAAAACAAACTGACACAGTCATGTGGCTCAGTCTTTCTCAACAAAATGGCTATCTGCCTATCAAGCATGTTACAAAAAGGAAGAACTTTGTAGCTCAAGCAACAATCCCAGGGATCTTCATAAATATTATACTCATCAACTGAACAGATGCAGTTCATCAACAAAGCAAAAGCCTTTAAAGTACTAGGCAACAGCTTAACCATTTCACTACTGAGAAACCCATTGTATACTGTTACAAGTTATGAGTTCAAAACCGAATTCACAGAACTCTGAACATTCCCATAAGCCCTCTGTCACTGTCTACAGCAGCAAGCACAGAGTTACAGTTCCGACAGCACCAGTAATAGTATAGCTGTATGTCCGTCTCGTCCCTCCCCTGAGTGCTGAGCATCAGACAGATCCCCTGGTCACTGTATACTAAAATCTCTGAGTGGGTGCCTGGGCCCCATTGTGAGGGAAAACAAAAACAGACAACTGCCTTCCTAGTAAGCATGTCATATGAGTTAACTAACGGGGGACTTCCTTCAAGGTTTGCGAGTGGCAAGGAACAACAAACTGCACACAAATAAGCCAGTAAAACGGATGTACATGCAAAACTCAGGCTCTGGCATAAAGCCAAAGTCCAGATGGATGAACAAATATGGCTTTCTACTGGGGCTTACAGCCGGTAAACAAGAAGAAGAAGAAGAGTATACTAAAAGCTCTGAAAAAATTACTGACCGGAATTATCTCAATGTTGTCCAGTAGCATCTTGACTGCTCTATTCTGATCTAGATCCATGAGTTGTGTGATCTTATCACTGATCTTGTCATACAAGTTGTGGTCATGGATCAGCTGGAAGACATCCTGATGTTTTAATCTGCAGAAACAAAAGTAAAAACATTATGTCTGCTCTAAACACCATTGGATTTGTTCAATACACACAGCATCATTACTGGCAGTTAATGTCAAAGCTTTGTCAAATACTTATGATTTCTGTAGGAAATAACATTCCATATCTATCTTATAATTTTCTTCTTTTAAACTGTTTCAATTTGTTTGTTTGTTTTAGTATCCAGAAGCCATGAGTTGTTAACCCTTAGGCTCGGTATTATGCATATCGCAACCTTTCGGCCTTGATTCCATTGTAAATACCGTAAATCTGGGAGAAAATGTGGCTTTCCTGCCTACCCCCGGGATTGAACCCGGACCACAAGGAGTTCGTCACCCGGTCTCCTCGCAATCCGGTTTAGCCAACTACGCTAGAGAGCCGGGCTACTGTTTCAATCTTAGGTAATCATTACTTTAACTTGTTGAAGAGGACTGAATCTGTCAGCTTCCACATAATTACTAATGTGCTGCCTAATATATATCAGGATTGAATCTATTTGTACTTGAACTCTCTTTCTTCCTTCGGTTAACAAAGCATGTTTTTTTATCCTATGAAATGCTGCTTTTGCTTGGGCTTTTCTACAGTTAGCTTCATTAATATGTTTTTGAGATAATGCCAACAGGTTTACCAAATAATTTAACACTTTAACTTATAGAGTAATAAATAACTCTGTTGATTATATTTACTATAGCGGATTCTCAAACAAATAAATTTACCTCAAATAAATGTCTAGTGCCTTGTCATATGCTCTTTTATGTGCATAGCTGAAACAAAAACAAAATGAATCAATGAAACAAGAGAATACATAATTAAATAAGATAATAATAATTTATTAAATGTGTAACATCTTTTATTATATTCACTGACAATTTAATTCCACAGTTTAATATTTGCTTTTTCTCAGCCTGCTCTGACACATTTTTCTAAAGATAAATTAATTCTATCTTTTCTTCTTCAGATGCTTGGTCTGAAGCAAAAATTGATGATCCTGACCTTTCAAATCTCACTATTTGTCATCTGATATTTTGATGAAGCTGGTTTTTATTAATTATTATTATTTGCATTCCTGATATTGAAGCTTTCCACACCCACTAGCTGCAGATGCAATTCTCTGCCAAGCAAGAAGTTCTCCTCCATTTATTTATTCTAAAGAAAAATTGCATATTTGAAGAGAAGAAAACTTACAGTTGGCCCAAACAAAACGCAGATGAGAAGAGAACCTAGTTGGCTTCAACAAATGTAGATTTTAAAAGAAAAAAACTAACACTTAGCTTAAATGCAAGTTGTTGATTTGAAAAGAATCAAACTTATACTTAGCTTAACTCTTTTAGGCCCATGAATTTTGACAGACTTGGCCCACTTTAATTTCCCTTTATAAAAATGGCAGAGGGGTGGGTGTACAAGAAAGGCTATAGAGATTGTAATATACTTCTAATTCCCATAAAAGCATTTATTTTTTAAAAGAGAAATGAATGTTTATTTTGAATCTGATGATAAGTGTTTGTTTTATTTTTTTTTTTAGTGGGAAAGAAGAATTCAGCAGGTGTTAATTTCACAAGGACAACATTTCACACAAAAATTCTTAACTTACCATGGTTTTGCAGCCACAAGAGTAGTAAATATCCAAATTTGAGAACAAAACTTCAAAGTTTGTTCAATTTCCTAACATATTCCAAAGTTATGATAACTTTCTGGGTAAGTTTAGCACTCAGGGGCTCTTAGTTCTCACCGAGTGCTAAGCAAAATTTCAGAGAAAAAATGGCAGAAAAATGAGCCATTACACACTCACTATTTACTATTTACTTTGTACAGTTATTTACAGACTGTAGCTGCGATGATTTCAATGTAGCTTAGCCATAGTATAGTACTGTCTCTTTGTTAAGAGCACTTTTTTCTCTTACACCATAAATACGGAGAAATGGGACATTGTCTGTGTAATAAACTCATCAGAATCGCTAGATTCCTAACAGCTGATCGCTCAGCTTCACTGGTGAAAATTCACCATCCGAATCACTTTCTGAAAAATCTAAATTTTTTTTATCATAATCACAATTAAAAACATCTGACTGAAACAATTTCAGAGCTTTGGCCACATAAAGACGCATTCTGCAAGCTGTACTTTTGGATGGAACATTGGTATTCATGGCACTCAAAAACGAACTTAGTAAATGAACTGTTGAAAAAAATGTTGCTGTTTTTTTCTCTAAAATTATTCACGTGTGGTTTAGTCCAGGAAATGAAACTAAAAAGATTTCGGCAGAGTGACTTTCCCTGAAAAGTTTAATCGTACTTCCAAACATTAGAAACTAGTACAAACGCGCGTGCGAAGCAAAATGTAAGGGACACACGATTGACGATGACACCGTTGTTTGGGCAGAACGGAACTTCTCAAACTACACTCACACCCTTGTTTGGGCCTTAAAGAGTTAAACACAAGTTGTAGATTTAAACACCAGCAGCATGACGATGGAGGTGACAGCAGTGACGCAAGCGTTTTCCTGGCTCGAAACACAAAACTACACCCGCGTATGTATACTCAGTGATTCAATGAGTATGATCCGAAGGGTTCAGACAGGCTTGAATCATTACAGAAGTCCACTGTGCGTGGAGTCACCTTTTTTTTGTTCTGGAATACGCAGGTGTCGATGGAAATGAAAGAGCTGATAGGTTGGCTGGATCCGCTATCACTACTGACGGTCAGCCTATGGATCATGCTGATATTATTAATGCCCTCAGAGAAATGGGAAGGATAGAGGACTTTGGGAGCAGTGAATCCACATCACTCGCCAGAATGGCAGACCTGGGAATTAAGATCAGCATAGCAAAAAATGAGACGCACACAAGACACACCAGAAGACTTGTTAATCAACAAAGAACTGGTACTATTAGCCATCGAACGTTGGGGTTCATACTGAGGGGAGGATCTGAGCACCTTTGGACATGTCCGCAGTGCAATGATGATAACCCAACTAACTAACTAACTAACAAGTTGTAGATGTGAAAAGAAGAAAACTTATACTTAGCTTAAAAATAATTTGCATTTGTGAAAAGAAGAAAATTTTTACTTAGCTTAAACATAATTTGTAGATTTGAAAAAAAGAAAGCTTATTCTTAGCTTAAACATAAGTTAAAGATGTAAAAAGAAGAAAACTCGGTTAAACATAAGCTGTAGATTTGAAAACAACAAAACTTACAGTTAACTTAAACATAAGTTGTAGATCTGAGAAGCAGAATAAAAAAACTAATCTGCCACTTACAGCTGGCCTAAGCTCTGCAACAAAAGTTGTGGATTCCTCTCCTTGTCTAGACGGACAAGAATGGCATTTATAATGGAGTCATTATCATACAAATCAGGTGGCCACTCCTTGATGAGCTGATAGAATCTCTGCAACATGAAAAAAAACAATATTTATCGCAGGTGTTGTAGAATACAAAGATAATAATACAGACCAAAAAATTGTTTTACAAATTATTATTATCATTATGTGCCATGCCAGTAAGCGTAGGCTGTCATGTTTCACCATCTCATCCCTGTGTTCTTGTTTGCACCCATCCATGTGGCCAAGCTCGCCAGGTATTTTCTTCTCTGCCTCCTCCTTGCTCTATTTCCACTAACCCTGCCAGTTTTACCAAGTTCTTGAATCCATTCCTTCTCACAAAATAGCTAAAAAACACTGACTGACTAAGTTTAACTGTTCTAACCAGTTTTGCTGAAGATGGGAACAGATTCCTTATGGGAGTGTCCCAAGTGCCGTGACGTCGATTCTTAATTCAACATGTCCTAAACATATTCTTATTAGTTTACAACTTTCATCTGTCTACAGGAAGACAGCCTCATTTGTTTCTCTATAATTCCGTGATATTCTTCATATTCTTCTCAAAAGCTACATCTCCGCTGCAAGCAAAAGTTTCTGTTTATTGAACATGTCTCACATGCATATAACAACACAGGTATAACACTCATTTTTCTCACTGCAATTGACATCTTCTTATCAGATATATCTTTTGCATCTTGCAAAAGGCCACTTTCGCCATGGTGATTTTTGTTCTCATTTCTGCAAGACATCTTTTAAGTATTATGAATAGAGCTTTTTTAAATAAATTCTTATTTTATATTAATTACAAAATATTTCAGGATTTTAGTATTATCTAGTATTAATGCACATGTATACATGTATATATACGATATGTACACCCAATTAAACAATATGGAATGAGAGCATATAACCACAGCAAAATCACATCTCCAAAAGCTGGACTAAATACAAATCTCTGAGCTCTGAATCATTACAGGAAAGGGGAGTTGGGGGGGGGGGGGGGGGGGGGGGGGTTCATGTAAAAGAAACACACACATCACTGACACTGAGGCAACTGCTGGGCTTTAAAGCTTTGGTGACAGAAGAGAAGCAAAAAATACTGACCCTTGAAGAAAAATTCAAACCCATGACTGGAAACTCTATGCATAAAATGGTAACAATAAAGATCAAGACAATCCATGTAATACTGGGGCCCATAGGGAGAAAAAAAAAACCCACTGCAACCTACCATGCATGTCATGACAGGAGACTAAGGAGGGCTGGTGTGTGAATGGCCGTCTTATTCCATAACAAACTTTAGTTGCTAAATCCAACCAATCATAAACAAGACTATACAATGTCTGAAATGAGCTACGTGAGGGCATATGCCCCATTGTAAACTTTATTTTTAAAAAAAAGTAGCAGTAGTATCTAACCATTTATAGATAATTCAGCAAAATGCTTGGTGTGAGCTCCTTTAGTATCCTTGCTTCAGTGGGAAAATGCTTGGTGTTCTTCTTCTTCTTCTTCGCGTTCACCAGCTGTAAACTCTGGCGGAAGGTTCTGGTTGCTCGTCTACTACTGAACTGCAGTCCTGCTCCAGAACCTGAGTGTTGCGTGTGCATCAGTTTTACAGATCTCATTCTCTTGAATACAGACTGTTGGTTCCTTGCCTCTCCGGCAGACGCACTCCGTCTTCAAAGGAAGCTCCCCAATTAGTTGACTCTTACAACATGCTTTTGGGGAGGCAGTGGGTCTATTCTTGTTTTCCCCACAATGGGGCCCCGGAACCCACACAGGGGTAATGCTTGGTGTGAGCTCCTTTAGTATCATACTTCAGTGGGAAAATGCTTGATGTGAGCTCTTTAGTATCCTTGCTTCAGCTGGAAAATGCTTGGTGTCAGTTGCTTCAGTATCCATGCTTCAATGGGAAATCTTCTCGCGTTCACCTGCTGTAAGCTGCTGTGGCAAGTCCTGGTAGCTCGTCCGCTTCTGGACCCTGTTGCTGCTCCAGAACTTGAGTCTTGTGTACACACCCATTTACAGATCTAGCTTATCTGAGTGCAGACTGTTGGTTCCTTGCATCTTAGGAACATCCACTACAAGTTCAAAAGAAATGTAAATCTTGTCTACATTTGGTCAGGCTCTTTTTTAAGAACCTTCTTCTAGGATGACTGCAGAGACATGTAGATAGATCTTGACGAGTATGAGCCCTGGTTGTGGTGCAACATCATGTGTGTATTAGCACCTCTGCATCCTGCAGATGAAAGTGTAAATCCTATGAGTTCCACACTCTTGCTCCCTACAAAACAACAGAATACAATAAACCCCCAACTCACTTCATAATCAGAGTTCAGAAACTCATTGAGAACCATCTCATAAATGGTTGTGCTGAGCCTTGGATCTTTTCTTGGGATGTAAGGTGCAACTGCCTGCAAACAGCAACATAAACTTTTAGGTGAAGTTTGTAGTGTTACAAGAAAAAGCATTCAAACAAAACAACTCATGCTGTCAAGAAAAGTAAAGGACCCGTTTCCATGCCTTCATGCGTATAGGATATATAGGGCTTCACATGTATATTTTATAGACCAAACGGCACTTGTTGGGTGATGTGGTCAGCATCATGATGGCCGCCTTTACTTCCCAGGACTGTACCTGGTACCCACTCAAGGCTGTATAATACCTAATCGCTAATAATAATTTATAAAACAAACAAAAAAGAAGGACAACAAAACAGTGTATGTTACATTATAAACTGCATCTCCCACTACAAGCCTAGTAAAGCACACCTTACTAGAACATCACTGCTGGTTTTAACATGTCTGGATCATTTTCTCCACCCCTACTCTCATCTCTAAAACATGCTCTCTCTCTCTCTCTCTCTCTCTCTCTCTCTCTCTCTCTCTCTCTCTCTCTCTCTCTCTCTCTCTCTCTTTTTTTTTCTCTCTCTCTCTCTTTTTTTCTCTCTCTCTCTCTCTCTCTCTCACACACACATTTACACAGATGGGTCTGTTGTTAAAAATGTAAGAAGCTTGTGGGATTTTTTTTTATGGCTCAGGTTGAGGTTAAGAGTTGTAAAGCAAGATTCTGGTGCTGTTGCCTTGACTACAAATAGGTCATGGTAGTGACCAAACTAATAACATGGCTGGAGAAATAGGCTTTTACCTGTACATGTTTTCTCAGTGACTCAATGAATATACTCAGGGAGACAGAGATGGGCTGGGTCTGAAGACAGTGGTTGGAGTCTCCCAGGCAGATGGGGCTGACAAATATCAGTTTCATATTCATGCCAGGGCAGACAGGCGTGCAGGAAAATGAACAGGCTTGCAGGTAAAGCTACTGTGAATACTACTATATATAATATACTGCATTTTCTTTGAGAAGTAAGATGTTTGCAAGAACCACGGGATGGCTGTAAATCTTTAATCATGACCAGACTGCAAGAACAACATGTTAAAAGAGGTGTGTCCAGATATGCAGGAAGCTAAAAATGAATACGAAACCAACACAGAATTGGTGTCCTCAGCTGCTATACACTAAGGGATTTACTGAGGAGGGGATCCAAGCACTTATGGATTGAATGGTCTGATGTGCGATAAAGATAATCTGCCGACTAACTAACTCTTTTTTCTTTCTATCTCTCTCATCCTCTCTTTCTCTCCTCTCTCTCTCTCTCTCTCTCTCTCTCTCTCTCTCTCTCTCTCTCTCTCTCACTCTCTCTCTCTCTCTCTCTCTCACTCTCTCTCTTAAAATTTGTTATATTAAGTTCTCCAAAAGGAAATTAATAACAGGTACAATTAAATATTTTTTTAATGTATAAGGAAACTACACAAAATAAATAAAGACAAGTAATAGGCAGAATGACTAAATTAATAACAGAGATAGGAATAAATAGGAAAAGGAAAAGACAAACAAAAGAATTCTATAATGACAAAACAAACAAAATCTTAATTATCAGCAGGTACTCCCTCACAACCAGAGCTAAGTTAGTAAAATAAAAAGCAGAAAGTGGCATCTATTAAGAAGTATTGAAGAATATTACCTTCAACTGGTGTATCTTGGCAAACTTATAAATTTCTTCTTCCCAGGATTCCTTTTTCTTGCCCAGAATCTTCACACAAAGGCGGCCAGCTTCCTCGTACTCCTGCTCTTCTAAAAGATAGTCTAAATATGCTCGTCCAATGGCCTGAAACATTTAAAACAAAGATATATGAGTTCTTCTTATATATTAAACAATCTGGCTTCATCATACTTACACTGTTTCAACAACGTTCTTGTCAATCTCATAAAACACCAATTACATGATGATGATGATGATAATGTTTCTTTGTTCTGACCAGGCTTGGCTTATGCTGCACACACAAAAAATGGGGGTGGGGGCTAACTGTCCCAATACTCAGTTTGCTCTTCTCCATTTACTAATTATGACCTCATTTAGTTTGTCATCAATGTTGTTTCCAGAAATTTAAACTGATGTCTAAACAATAAATGTGCATTCTACAATTATATTTAAGTACTGATTCATTCTTACTACTGACATCACTTTTGTTTTACATGTTCTCAGTGTTAATGTGTTTTACACTTTTCCTTTACGAATTTGAGATGATGTTACTATTTCATGGTTGTATCTGCTATCAAGGCCTGGTCATCAACAGATAGTAGTTTGTTGATATTACTAAAATCTGCGTTCCTGGGCTTGGCAACTCTACTTATTCTGTTGATTCACTCTAACTATCCTTATACAATCTCTATGTACACTTCAATGAGATGTTCGCTTACTCCATATCAAGCAATTATCATATGCTGAATGTCTTCTCTTGGTCTACAAATGTAACAAAGAAGTTCTTACTCTTAATGGTCTTTTCTATTAACTGTTTAAGTGTAAAGATTCCATCTGTGCAGCTCTTTTTTTTTTTTCCTTCTACAGTGCATCTGTTCTTCTGCCAACTTGGGTTCTATCACTGGACTGGGCCTCATTTCTATTTTCTGTTATTTTGGCATACATTTTCCAAACATGACTTAAGAGAGAGATGCTGATGCATTCTTGCTTGCTCACTTTGTTTTTCCACAATGTTAAACTATTCCAATAGATATGGTTAAACAGAATTAAAAAGAAAAAAAAAATTCCTTATCAAAAACTTTAAAAACCAAAATCTCATAATCTCCTATTAAAGAGACTCAGAATGAAATAATCACAAATGAGGAACTCATGGATAGAAGTAAAACTAATTTTGGAGGATCAAGAGATAGGGAAAGGTGTGGACACTAGACAGGACACACAATAGAAAAAAAAAACCTGGTAATAGTATAACAAAAAAGTATTTTCTCTGGAACTCACAGGGCAAGCGACACTGAGGGACACTTAAACACACATGGAAAAAATGGTCAGTAACAATGATCTATAATTTAAGGAAGCCACATAGAAGATGGCAAAAGACAGGAGAATGTGGTTAGTTTGTTAAGGGTCTCTGCTCCATTTGGGGATTTAAAAATTTAAAAAAAAAAGAAGAACAATAACAAGCACAAAATATCAAACAATACTTAAAACATGAATAATATAATTTATACTAAACAACACAGAATAAGAAAAACTTACAAAATAGGAATGGGTTTTCAGTTCCTTGCTGTGTTCTGAAGCAGCAGCCATTGCTTCCTATTATAAAACCATGGCAAAAGGATAATTAATTAATTTTAAACCTAGGATCAACTCTGTGACACATGATCAATCAAGCCAGAGAGAAATAAATAACATCATAATTCACATAAACAATTGAAGCACTATATAAATATACAAGAAATGGTGTCATCTGCTATATAAGTGGCTCCTTTTTAGGGTCAGAGCCAGTTTTACCTAAGATTTTTGTGAGCTCATCTGATATATCAGTGGCTCCTTCTTAGAGTCAGAGCCAGTTTTACCTAAGATTGGTGTGAGCTCATCTGCTATATCAGTGGCTCCTTCTTAGAGTCAGAGCCAGTTTTACCTAAGACGGTTGTAAGCTTATCTGCTATATCAGTGGCTCCTTCTTAGAGTCAGAGCCAGTTTTACCTAAGACAGTTGTGAGCTCATCTGCTATATTAGTGGCTCCTTCTCAGAGTCAGAGCCAGTTTTACCTAAGATTGTTGTGAGCTCATCTGCTATATCAGTGGCACTTTCTTAGGGTCAGAGCCAGTTTTACCTAAGACAGTTGTGAGATCATCTGCTATATCAGTGGCTCCTTCTTAAGAATCAGAGCCAGTTTTACCTAAGACTGTTGTAAGCTCATCTGCTATATCAGTGGCTCTTTCTGAGGGTCAGAGCTAGTTTTACCTAAGACAGTTGTAAGCTCATCTGCTATATCAGTGGCTCCTTCTTAGAGTCAGAGCCAGTTTTACCTAAGACAGCTGTAAGCTCATCTGCTATATCAGTGGCTCCTTCTTAGAGTTAGAGCCAGTTTTACCTAAGATTGGTGTGAGCTCATCTGCTATATCAGTGGCTCCTTCTTAGGGTCAGAGCCAGTTTTACCTAAGACGGTTGTGAGCTCATCTGCTATATCAGTGGCTCTTTCTTAGGGTCAGAGCCAGTTTTACCTAAGACAGTTGTGAGCTCATCTGCTATATCAGTGGCTCCTTCTTAGAGTCAGAGCCAGTTTTACCTAAGATTGGTGTGAGCTCATCTGCTATATCAGTGGCTCTTTCTTAGGGTCAGAGCCAGCTTTACCTAAGACAGTTATGAGCTTATCTGCTATATCAGTGGCTCCTTCTTAGAGTTAGAGCCAGTTTTACTTAAGATTGGTGTCAGCTCATCTGCTATATCAGTGGCTCTTTCTTAGGGTCAGAGCCAGCTTTACCTAAGACAGTTGTGAGCTTTTCTGCTATATCAGTGGCTCCTTCTTAGAGTTAGAGCCAGTTTTACCTAAGTTTGGTGTGAGCTCATCTGCTATATCAGTGGCTCTTTCTTAGGGTCAGAGCCAGTTTTACCTAAGACAGTTGTGAGCTCATCTGCTATATCAGTGGCTCCTTTTTAGAGTTAGAGCCAGTTTTACCTAAGATTGGTGTGAGCTCATCTGCTATATCAGTGGCTCTTTCTGAGAGTCAGAGCCAGTTTTACCTGACTGTTGTAAGCTCATCTGCTATATCAGTGGCCCCTTCTGAGAGTCAGAGCCAGTTTAACCTAAGACTGTTGTAAGCTCATCTGCTATATCAGTGGCTCCTTCTTAGAGTCAGAGCCAGTTTTACCTAGGACTGTTGTAAGCTCATCTGCTATATCAGTGGCTCCCAACCTTCCAGAGGACAACTGGAGAAGAAAAATGTAGAGACAGTTTTGAACTAATAATATTGGGGATGGAGCTATTCCCCAGAGTGTGATGCCAAGAACACAGAACGGTGAAAAGATTCTCACTGCTGATACTTCCATCATGACACCCCAACTTCCAAAGTCAGGAGTTACAGATTGAGAAGATGATGATGATATTTCACCTCTTTAAGGAATTTTACAATAACTTATTAAATAACCCTCTACTTAAGGAAACTGAGAAATATCAATTTCTAGTATTTATGCTTCATTAATTTAAAGAAAAATGAAAGAGATAGAGACACACACACACACACACACACACACAGAGAAGGAGGGGAAAAGAGGAGAGAGAACAGAAACTGTTGAAAGAAAATTTTTTTAAAAGAACAGGGAGGCATATGGACACATGAGACAGACAGTGAGGAAATAGTAAAATGAAAGGATGCGAACAGAGAGGTAGAAGAACATAAGAAAGGCTTCTTGTTTTTTTTAAATAATTCAATAGTTTCAACGTTTGGAATAGATAGATTACTTCATATCTTCCATGATCCATCAGCCAAGTTATGTGATCATCCTGGTCACGAAGTCGAGCAACAACAACATCTTTTGGGCTGACAATGAAGTACAGATTCTCCTCAGCAATGGATTCTGTAAAACAAAATTACCTTCATTATTAATACATCTGACTTTATTAAAAAACAAACATTTAACTATGAAGGATGCTAACCAATTCTACTAACATAAAACCCACCTACTGATGCCATAATTATATACTGGGGGTCAGGATATTCTAGCCATCTCCACTGTTAAAAGAACACTTGTGTGGGTGTACTTAGTTTACTTTTTCATGTGAGTCCAATAGAGGATTTAATCTGATTCTTTCCTTCAGAGCTTTTCCAAATGAGTGTTGGGATGTATAAGTGTGTCAGTTGCACTATGACGATGTGTAACTAAAGGTGTGGCCACAGCTCTTATGAGGGGTGAGTTTAGCCTCCGGTTTGCTACTATAGAAATAGCATATATTTCATGTAGATTTAATTATAATGGTTTGCTGTGGTTAGAAATGTAGGTGTTATTTGAACACACTCCAGTTTTTTTATTTTTTTATTTTGGCTGCTGCTGACGTTTACTATTACTTGTTAACAGATGTATGAGTAAAATGATGTATGAATGAAATGATGTATGAATGAAATGGTGTATGAATGAAATGATGTATGAATGAAATGATGTATGAAAGGAGAGAGATTAGAAAAGCAGAATGTTAGATAGGCCAGTGTGCCCGTTTCTGAACCCTTTGAAAATAAAGTTTGTTCATCCATTTGTAAAGTAAATTACTGTGCCACAAAACTAATCATCTAAAATGTGTATCACCAACATGACAAGTTTGTAAAGCTATACTTTACTGCTTGCCTTCAAATGTTCACACACAAATATATTTTTTTTTTTCATATCAAAAAATCCCAGTAAAAGAAATATATCATGAACATTCTGACACATCCTTTTTTAACAAGTGTAGCTACAGGTCGAGTATATTCATTTATTTCTTCCCTGAAAAGGCACTATTTGTATGCAAAGTATGTCAATGCTTTTTGGAGAATGTTTGCTCGAAAGCATATATATGTCTCTGCAAGGATAAGGTAAATGCCAAATTTTCACTCCCACACAATCAATTAAAATGTTTCTCATGTAATTACTGTAATTAAATTAAACTACCATAGCACTGTAACTTTGATCACAAGAGTGAGGGAAAGAAGGCTATTGTGCTGTCTATCATGGGATACTCTGTACGTCACCTCAGGCACCAGAACACTCAGTGCTGGTTTTACAAAACTTCACCAAGACTCCTGCTGCATGTACAGGTTATGGGCCACAGATAATGGCCTATGTCTGCCTAAACAGAGAACGCAGATGATCTCAGAGCTACTGGCCCCCAGAGATGTCCAGAAACCTGCTGGTATACTAACCATTCGACCAGCCAATCACTCCTTCAGAGCAACAAAAAAGAGAACAAAACTATGCAAGATGTGTGTCCCGATTCTAACACAACTCAAAACCGCAGGCAATTGTTTTCTCATAAAAAGATATCCCAGAAATAAACTTCCAAGTATTAATTAAACGGCACAATAATAGAAATCGTACGTGTCTTACATGGTAAATGTCGCAATCATTGTCTGCGCAGATATAGTCTTTGATTGCCTTCCCCCTTCCCCTTTCTCAAATCCACCAACTACTCTCTAACTCATCTAGGTTGAATGCGCTTCACAGTGCCGGGGTGCCAGGTTCAATCCCAGCTGTGAACGATTTGTCTTGCATTGGTTTTGACAGTGGTACCATGAGCTGACTGTTCGGAAGCAATGGCAAACTACTAAATATAAAATGTACCTAGAAGATCAATAAGCCAAACAAATGCTGGCTTTGGTTCTACATCTTGTAAGGGATACACAACTAACCTAACTTGAATCTAAGACCACCAAGCTAACATTAAATCATATTATGCTAAATGAATTAAAATTCCATGAATGGGTTCCGGAACCCCTTTTGGGGAGAAAACCATTCCCTAGCAAACATGCTGTAAAAGGCAAACATCTGGCAGTTTGCTGAAATCGTATATGCATATAATGCAGCCCAGTTGTAAAATACAAGTCACCAACCACTCTTATAAGGGTGAATGCAAAAGAAGAATAAGAAGTGGATGAGGAGGAGCTGCAGAATAAGAAGTTGAAGAAAAATAAGAAAATGAAGAACAAGAAAATGTATTCCTCATTTATTTATAGAAAACTACATTCTAAAAGTATTATACTGAAGACTAGTTAAAGAAGTAGTAGAAAAATTAAAACAAGAACAAGAACAAGAAATTCAAATGTATTCAGCATTTATCTATAGAAAAATGTATCAAGCACGGTACCTAAATGATAGTCATTACACCTGTACTCTTGAAAGCCCCGGATTGAGAGAGCATCATTGGAAATTTCCTCAAAGGATTTCATATGGGGTTCCAGAATCTGCAGATGTGGTCTGCTGGCAACATAACGTCCTCCCTGGATAGATACACATAATTAGCAAGATAACTTGGCAAATGAATAATATACAAATGTGAGAATTAATATTGCTATCACTGTACAAGATGAAACAAAGCTAACCAACATCTCACAGATATTGTCAACATACTTTTGCAAATTTTTTTTTTTTAAAGAAAAGATAGGAGTAACAGGGTTAAACTGCAGAAAAGTATTAATAAAACTACTAAAACAATGTATCCAACTTACATATTCTGCACTCTAACTCTGTTGCTATATACAAAAGTTGTTTTCCACTAATTACACGCTAGCACATTTGTTAAAATAAGACACATAACTGTTCCATTACATATGTAAAGGTGGGCCTGCCTTATTCAGTAAAGCATTATTGATTACATTTGTCATACAACTACGGCCTATGAGGATGTGATACACCTTTATTTTCTTAGTCAATCAGTATCTGATCAGTGATGTAGTCAGCATTATGTTTGCTGTCTCTTCCCCGAACCTCTCTCTCTCTCTCTCTCTCTCTCTCTCTCTCTCTCTCTCTCTCTCTCTCTCTCTCTCTCTCTCTCTCTCTCTCTCTCTCTCTCTCTCTCTCTCTCTTTCTCCCCCACCCAAAATATAATGCATATTTTAAGAGCCTGGCTCAATCCCTATATGATCATGAGAAAATGCCACCCTAGCACTGAAAAACTAGACTAGCTAGTAAGTGGGATAAACACAGAACCACTAGACAGACGAGCAATCCTGCCAGCCACCTCATGTCTGTGGCTTCTTAACCTTTTCATCCCAAGAAGCTGCAGGACCGACACTTTCGGTTAAGACCAATTCTCTGTACATGTCACTTTGACTTGTCTATAGCAACCTGTTTATAAGATGTATGGTTAATGCTATTCACTATGTTCATGCCTGCATAAATGTTTATGAGATCAGGACATGAATACATTCACTAAAAATATCATTTGGGGGATAGAGGGGTGTACCCTTCAAATCAAATCATTTTTTAAGCGAAGTTGACATCAAATTTGACCATAAGCCTCACTGATAGAAGTCACAGGGTCAAGGCATAAATCACCTGATAAATATATATTTTTTAGATGCCAGGGGCATCAGAAGATGTCTGGAAACAGGCCACTCACGATTTTCTTAATCTACAGTTCACAACAAAAGCCACGTCTGGCACAGTTGAAAAGCATTCCTAGCTCACAGGGTGGCACCATGTATTCAGCTTAGTTGCTGGGTAATGGAACTATATTCTTTCAGTCTACATATGGAAACAAAACGTATAGCTAACTTTTATCAGAAGACAAAAAACTTATCACACCTAAAAACAGTAAACCTGCTGATTATATTGAACAGAATTAAGTTTTCATCATTGTATGAATAGTCAGCTTGATGTAGCATGTATGAAAATCAGTACAGAAAAGGGAATAGAGGTCCTTCAAATCAAATAATTGATGATGATGTCAAATGTTTGCATAAATCACCCAATATATGCGTTTGTTGTTTGAAACAAAAATTTAAATGTACATAAATAAAACACTTTACAATATTTCAGTGATCTGTGTAAAATTGTTGTTTTTAAAGGATTTCTTCTGAGAATTCTGGGAGGACCATAAATCCAGTGTGAAATGGTAAAGGGGAAGTTTGCTAATTTTTAAAATACTGTTTTCACTAAAAGATGCCCGAAATGTGTGAATCAGCACAGTCTTTCCCATGTTATAGTCCATAAACCCCTGTGGGTTCGCAGAACATATTTAAGGAGTCCAAGACATTATTTACAAACAAATCCTCAACTTTATAATACTATCCTTTTCTTCCATTCTAACAGTAGGCAACTGTCAGTCCCAAGGGACAATGCAGCTGTGCTGCTGGATTTGGGAACAGCATCTGCTATCACTGTAAAGTCCAATGAGGGAGTGGAAATCTTAGTCCACATAAAAATGTTGATACTCTAGTATACCGAGGCTGGTTTCCTCTCAGACGTCTCCTCTCTGTAGCTTGCTGCGTTTGGCCTCTTCAAACTGTGATATTCAGTGTCTCACTGTCTGCCTCTAAAAGAGTTAGTCTGCAGTTGATGTCTCCCAAGTGTCAATGTTGGTTATCTTTCAGGTCATCTTTGCATAATATTTATTAATTATAATGAGTTCTGGGTTCATTTGGATAAAGATTTGACATCAGCACATTCAAGACAATCTCATATTAGCTCTATCTCCATCCTCAACTGCCAGCAAAGAGTCTCCACACTGATGGTACCAATGTCATCTGGTTAACTATTCATCTTGCCTCTCCCTTAGGTCTCGAGTGGCATCCATAGTCCACAAACATTCCCCGCTGCAACATTTGCTTCAGGTGCAGGTTTTCAGTATCTTTCATTTTACTTGTTACCTCGTCCCATGGGTGAGAGATCACCTCAATCTTGTGCAGTTGCAGTACATTCTGAAGTAGGGCCAGTCCAGCCAACCTATCTGCCTGTTCATTTAAAAACATGCTTGAACAGCCCAAGCAAATTATCAGTGTAACCATCACAACCTGCGACCTTTGGACTGATGCAACCCATTTAATTGGATATTATAACAATATCAGTGGCTGGGATTTTCTTTATCCATCAGAATGTGGCAGTTATCCTCTCAACCTGGATATGGCTTTGTCATATGCCAAGCTCTCCTTAGTCCTCCCCCCCCCCCCCCCCCCATGCTTTTGAAATAAAGCCCCATCCACTCTCTCTATCCTTGGTCACTATTTCATCAGTGTATAATCTCATCTTCTGGCCTAGAGTAGTCCAGTATCAGCTGTTGAACCTCTGCATCTGCATATCCTGCAGCCCAGTCCCTGCAGTTAATTAACACTTTGAACAGCTCTTCTCTGTCCTCCAATGTCTTTCAGTTTCTTCTCCTCTGTTGATTGTCTTTTCAGTGTGAGCCATCCAGGATCTGCCCCTCTTAATTCTGTCAACCTTTGCAGCATCCAGTTCCCTATGAAGGATATGTTCTTTATCGCTTGCAACTCTAAGACAGTACCCAGCTTGCAGTATACTATGTCTATCAGCGTTGGTCTGCTTAGCCAGAATATGTCTCATACGCAAAACTGTTGTATCCATTGTGCATCCTGGAATGGTTCACATAGCCTCATTCTGAATGCATTCCAATTTCTCCAAATGAGATTTTGACAGTTAGTGTCCCCAGCTATATTAAATGATCGGCTTAACAAGGCACTGACTGACTTTGTATAACAAACAATGAGTTTTTTTATGTATGACTTAAAAAGTACCTTCAAAAATAAGAATTAGTGTGTATTATCCACTTACCTCTTGCTTTTCTCCTAATTTATCATATGACAACACAACAATGTTGGTGGCAAGTGGTGCAATACCACAAATCAAGAAGTCTGTTGTGAACATGGCAACTGGGTGAAAGCATAAAACATATTTGTCAAATCTACTTGTCTCTGATGTTTTTATGGTGTGCAGTAAAGAAAATTAAAATTTCAGTTCTTCTTCTTCTTCTTCAAAGTGTTCAAGAGCTGTAAACTCCAGCAGAAAGTTCTGGTTGTTCATTCACTTCTAGACTTTAGTCTTGTTCAAGAACCTGAGTTTTTTCTGCACATCCACTTTACAGATCTGGTGTATATTTATGCAGACTTGGTCCCTCACCTTTCAGGCAGACACACTCCAACTTTGAAGGAAATCCTATAATTAGTCACCTTGTATAACATGCTTATTAGGTAGCCAGTGGGTCTATTTTTTTTCGCCCAGAATGGGGCCCTGGAACCCACACAGAGAACTAAAATTTGCTTGCCTCTGATTCTGTTTTGGTATGCAACACACAACATTAAAATTTCAGTTCCAATTACAACTTCATTCAATAGATTTCATAGTTTCATCAGGCCTATGGCACGGTCCATCCGTTTTCAACTAGCCGCTCAACTAGCGGCATCTGAGGCTTAATGATTATGAATGCAATTTTATCGTTCTCACACACATGGTTCAATTGAGCTGTAGGTGATTTGGCAGCATTGATTTCGACAACATTATGAGCATCGAATCGCCCAGAAAACATTGGCAAACCATTGAGCATAAAGTTGCCTAGTAAAATTATAATCAGCCAACAAATGCTGGGTTGTGCAATGTACTGGAAGGATATCACAAATAGGTCTGAGGAGAACAGTGCTGCAAGGAGTGACCAGGGGATCTGGCCAAAGTTCAACCTCAAGGAAAAGGCCACACAGATATACAATCAGACTGTTCCTGGTGCCATCAGAATTAGAACTGTGTCCTGCTGCTTAAAATATGGCCAGAGCGCTGATGGGAATGTCCTGAGTGCTGTTATGTCAATTCCTAATTCAACATTCAACATTCTGGAAAGGATACGCAACTAGAGATTCACAAATAGTTTTATGGCCAGTTTCTGCATCTGTTGACTGCTATGAAATAATATGTATTTCATTATACACAAAAGGTATTGATGCAAGTGAATAGTGCAATGACTTGCTTATACAGCAGTCTAGGTTATCATCATAACTTCCCGTGTGGGCTCTAAAGCCCCACTAGGGGGCAGGGGGGACAGATCCACTGCCCCCTAAAAAGAATGTCATCCTCAAAGTCGAAGTGCATCTGCTTGAAAGGTGAGAAACCAAAAGTCTGCATACAAATAAGCCAGATCTGTAAAATGGATGTGCACACAACACTCAAGTACTGGACAAGACCAAAGTCTAGCATGGAAAAAAACCAGAACTTTCCACTAGATTTTCCAGCCGGTTAAAGCTAAGTAGAAACCCTAACAGAAGTGTTATTTTATTTTCAGACTCAATTTCGGAGGTCAAACTTCGCTTACAAAAGTCAATCATAAAGAGGTAAAGAAAATGTGCTGATGCTGAGGAAGAAACTTTCATCACATTTAGTAATTTCATAGCACAGTACTATCATTTTACACCACACTGCAAATACGGCACTGCAGCACCTTTACCTTTAACCCAAATATCTTCTTTTCCTTATAGTACCTGCCTGGGGACATAGGTAATCATGTCTGCCCAAAGCCAATTGCTTCATGTACCATTAATACATTTTAAAACAGATGTTCTTCCATATCCCATTGCCTAATTGTCTAAATTCTGATACAGATGTTCTTCCATACCCCAAAGCCAAACTAAATTCTGAAACAGATGTTTTTTCATACCATGATGATAAACTATTTAAATTCTGATAAAGATGTTATTCATTACCACAATGCCAAACTGTGTAAATTCTTATACAGATTTCTTCTGTACTCCATTGCCAAACTGTCTAAATTATGAAACAGATTTTCTTCCGTACCCCAATGCCAAAATGTCTAAATTTGGATACAGATGTTCTTCCATACCCTTACTTTAAACTGTCTAAATTCTGATACACATGTTCTTCCCTACCCCAATGCCAAACTGTCAAAATTCTGAAACAGATATTCTTCCCTACCCTAATGCCAAACTGTCTAAATTCTGATACAGATGTTCTTCCATAACCCAATGCCAAACTGTCAAAATTCTGAAAGAGATATTCTTCCCTACCCCAATGCCAAACTGTCTAAATTCTGATACAGATGTTCTTCCATAACCCAATGCCAAACTGTCTAAATTCTGATAGAGATGTTCTTCCATAACCCAATGCCAAACTGTCTGAATTCTGATATAGATGTTCTTCCATACCCCAATGCCAAACTCTCTAAATTCTGATAGAGATGTTCTTCCATAACCCAATGCCAAACTGTCTAAATTCGTATACATATGTTCTTACGTGCTATCAGTGCCAAATGTGGACACTTAAATCCTCTAATTAACGTAAAATTCTGACAACAGAGATAAAATGCCTTAGAAGAGCTGCAGGATTTTCAAGGAAAGACAGAATACAAAATCAGGAAATCAGGCGAATGCTAGGAATAAAACCAGCCTCACAGGTCTTCAAAGAACAACAAAGGAAGTGGTTTGGACACCTAACAAAAATACCCTGGTAATATCTACCACAGCGAGCCACACTGAAACATTACAACGGGTATAGAGCAAGCGAAAGACCTCAGAAAATATAGAGTGATGGCATTAAGAACATCCTTACAAAAATTAACATCAATTAAATAGTGGTATTGACAGAGCTCATCAACAAACGTTACATCTCCCCCAACACTTCACTGAGCTACAAGGTGGAAGAGGAAGAGGAGAGGAGGAAGAAGAAGAAGATGAAAAATGTCTAAATTCTGATAAGATGTTCTTCTATACCACAATGCCAAAGTGTCTCAATTCTGATATAGATGTTTTTCTGCACCCCAATGCCAAACTGTCTACATTCTAAAACAGATGTTCTTCCATACCCCAATGCCAAACTGTCTACATTCTAAAACAGATGTTCTTCCATACCCCAATGCCAAACTGTCTACATTCTAAAACAGATGTTCTTCCATACCCCAATGCCAAATTGTCTACATTCTGAAACAGATGTTCTTACATACCCTAATGCAAAACTGTCTACATTCTAAAACAGATGTTCTTCCATACCCCAATGTCAAATGGTTCAACATCTTTTCTTTTTCCTTCCAAATGTACTTTTTCTTCCTTTCTCATAAAGTGCCAGAGTAAATTGTGAGTTAATTGTTTTCCAGAAATCTGTAATGATTTTATGTGTCCTTGCTGATGTAATTAACTTTTTTCTAGAAAATTATATGATATACACATTCATTTACATAATAAACATAAATTTGTTAATATTAATATAAACAGTATGTTATTAAAAAAACTTACTAATTTCTACATATCTTGTTGGTAGATTTTCTTTCATGTCTGCCTTGTTCTGCTCTTTAACAACACATATCTTTAGAAGAAAAATGTTTCTTTTTTATGGGTGAGGGTGAAACAGAAAGTAAATGCAGTTACATAAAATAACACTGATAAATGAAAGAATTGAACACAAATGCAAATTCAGAAACTGCATTTCTTCTCCATTAAGTGTAAAGTCACCTACCTTTGGCCATTATCTTAATCCCTGGAGTGAAATATCATCTAGTTAAAGCAACAATATCACCTACTTAAGTATAAAGCCATCTATATAAGGTCGTTATCTCAATCTCCGGATGGAAATATCATCTAGTTAAAGCAGCAATATCACCTTCTCAAGTATAAAACCACCTATATGTGGTCCTTTTCTCAATACCTGGCATGACATGCATACAGCTAGAGTATCTCCTTCGTCTTCTAAGCGTTCACTGGATGTAAACATTGAGGGGAAAGTTCTGGTTGTTCGCCCAACTCTGTATTTTGGTGTTGTTTCTGAGCATTAGGTCCATATCTACGCTGGCGTTGGATAGGGCACACACTGAGAAAACAGGAGATCAGCATAACTAGAATGTCTTTGCATTGGAACCCACAGGGGCATAGGAATAAAGGAAGGCCAAAAAACACATGGAGAAGAGAGCTGGAGAACGAGGTTAGAAAGATTGGGAGGACATGGGGAGAGCTCCATGCAATGGCGAAGGATAGAACGACTTGGCGTGAGTTGGTTGAGGGCCTATGCTCCATTGGGGGATAGAGAGGCAGAAGAAGAAGAAGGTCCATATCTGTTTTACAAATGTGACTTTTTGTAAGCAGACTCCTCATCTCTCAGACTGATGCATTTCAATTTCAAAGAAACACTCCTAATTAGCTGCCCTGTATGACTTCTTCTTCTTCTTCTTATTTACGTCCTCTTTTACCGCTTCTGGTGTCGAGGAAGATATCAGGTCGGACAAGTGTGCTCTTCTGGCTGCTTCGACCACAGATACATCATGGTGCTGTAGAGTCTCTCATGCTATCTTCTCATCTTGTTCTTGGTCTACTTCTTGGTCTACGTCCTCTTCTGGTATATGCCTTGTATGGTATAGCATCAGAAGGCATTCTCTACAAGTGGGCAAACCATTTTATTTGCTCCTCGCAGTCCTTTAGCACTGCAATGGTTGACTGGTGACATCGGTTGATTTAGCTGACATTGCCTGTATGATATGCTTGTTGGAAAGGGAAGGCCAAGGAGGCAGAGGGTCTATGCTTTTCCCCCACAGAATTGGCCCAAGAAACACAAACACAAAATGTTGTTAGAGTATTATCCTATCTACTCAAGTGTAATGTCATTTGGCTGGCATACTTATCTTACTTAAGTCGGCATCTGTGGCTTAGGCTAGGAGTTGTGAACATTGTTCATAATTCCACAACATCCAGTTTTTCAGGTGCTAGAAATGCACAGCAGACCACAAGGTGTTAATTTTGACACTCATTTGAACTATCAGCCATTCAGAATGCAATGGCAAATGGCCAATGAAAGTTGGGGTTGATTTTGCAATATCAAGTAAAGGATATACAAGTGACTGTTATGCCATCTAGCTAGACATTATCTTACCTACTCAAGTATAATGTCCCCTTACTAGAGTATTTATATCAACTACTAAAATGCAGTACCACTTTGTTAGAGTAATTATTTCAACTACTCAAGCACAGTGCCACTTGGTTAGAGTAGTTATTTCAACTAATGAAGCATAGTTTTATTTTGTCAGAACAATTATCTCGTTTACTGATGCACAGTGTCATCTGGTTACAGTACTCATCTGTCGCCTAGAAGTGCACATGTCATCTGGCTAAGGTGATTTTCTCACTCAATGATGTGAAATGTAATCTCATTACACTATCTAACTGCATCCCTGAAGTGATATGTCATCTGGCTAAGGTAATTTTCTCACTAACTAATGTACAATGTCACCTCATTACACTATCTAACTGCATCCCTGAAGTGATATGTCATCTGGCTAAGGTAACTTTCCCAATTGCTGATGCACAATTACATCAGCTTACACTACCTATTTGTATCCTTGAAGCAATATATCATCTGGCTAAAATAATTATCTCATGATTTGAAGAATAATAACTGCTTGTCTCATGCCAGCTCCCTCAGTTGCTTATAACTTCATGGTAGGTTAAGGTTACAGTGTTCCTATTTTATGCTTAACTTTGGACTCAATAACACAGGGATGACAGCCAGAGATTGCTAAGAAAAAGAAGACACACAGTCTGATCCCGAAGTGTCATGTTGGAAATTAAACACATTATCAATTCTGCTAACGGAACAGTTATAACAGTATTAATAGTGGGAGAAAAAAAACAACTTGCATAATACTGCAGGAAGCTATTTTGACAAAAACTAACCTTCACTCTGTCTCCCCAGCCAATCAACAATGTTTTTGTATCCCGCCACACGAGCTGACAAACACACAACTCAGGACGCATACTAGGGAAAATTTATCAAATTTCAGTTATGATAAGAGAATTAAACAACCTCTATATTGTCATGTGGGGGTGGGGGGTAGGGTAGGGGGATGGATCCATTAACTCCTAATAAGCATGTCGTAAAAAATGACTAATAACGGATTTTCTCAAATGAGATGTTTGAGGCCTTCCAAATGCAATGCATGGGTTTATCTTTATTTCCTTAAGGTTGTACCAGATGCCATCATTCCATAACTTGTGTCGTCCTCCTCTTGCTGCATGCTCATTATAGTTAAACAGCATGGCTTTCTGTGGCAGCTAGTAAAAGTGCATTCTTATAAAATGGCCAGACCATCTCAGCTGATGTTCTTTAATGAGCTGTATGACTAGTTTCATTCAGTATTTTGTTCTAGTGTCTTCACTTTTAATTTTACTGGGGGTTTTTTTTTGGGGGGGGGGGGGGGGGGGGGGGGGGGTACTCTTGCAGCTTTTTTTTTGTCATCTCTTCTGTGTTATGATTTTGTGCTCATTATCTGTAGTGAGGTTACATGTTTCACACTGCTAGCATAGAGTTGGCCAAAAAATTAGTTCTTAACTCTTTGAGTCACAGGGGGTTTAGCATCACAGGCCCAAGGGGTAGTCAAGAGAGATTTAAAATCGGCACATCTTGCGTTCATTGGGCTTCTAGGTAGGAATCTATGAACATATGATGCGTTCCTTGGGACTCAAAGAGTTAATAGATTTGCCATGGTAGACAAGGGTATCCTTCTGTGAGTCAAAAGTAGGGCTAGTTGTCCCAGTAACTGATTTGCTTTTGCACGCAGTATGTTGATTTCTCTATCCATTCTTCCTTCTGTCCATCCCTACAGTATCACTGCAGCTCATAAATTTTAGATTAATTAGATATTCCTTTATATTACTCATAGTCGATTAGTATATGAGATAGTCTAACTCTAGACCTACTCATGATCAATTAAAACATGAGATGATCTAAATTTTTAACTTACTCAGGATATATTAAAACAAGAGATTACCTAACACTAGACTTACTCGTGATCAATTAAAACATGAGATGATCTAATTTTAAACTTACTCATGATCAATTAAAACATGAGATTATCTAACTCTAGACTTACTCACGATCAATTAAAACATGAGATGATCTATCTAATTTTAAACTTAAGCATGATCAATTAAATCATGAGGTTATCTTACTCAAGACTTACTCATAATCAAATAAAACATGAGATGATCTAATTTTAAACTTACTTATGATCAACTGAAACATGAGACTGTCTAACACCAGACCTATTCATGATCAATTAAAACATGAGATGATCTAATTTTTAACTTACTCATGATCAATTAAAACATGATATGATCTCATTTTAAACTTATAATCAATTAAACGATGAGATGATGTAATTTAAACTTAATTTGATCAATTGAAACATGAGATTGTCTAACACTAAACTTACTCATGATCAATTAAAACATGAGATTGTCTAACACTAAACTTACTCATGATCAATTAAAACATGAGATAATCTAACTCTAGACTTACTCATGATCAATTAAAACATGAGACAATCTAACTCTAGACTTACTCATGATCAATTAAAACATGAGACAATCTAACTCTAGACTTACTCGTGATCAATTAAAACATGAGACAATCTAACTCTAGACTTACTCATGATCAATTAAAACATGAGATGACCTGATTCTAGACTTACTCGTGATCAATTAAAACATGAGACAATCTAACTCTAGACTTACTCATGATCAATTAAAACATGAGACAATCTAACTCTAAACTTACTCATGATAAATTAAAACATGAGACAATCTAACTCTAAACTTACTCATGATCAATTAAAACATGAGACAATCTAACTCTAAACTTACTCATGATCAATTAAAACATGAGACAATCTAACTCTAGACTTACTCATGATCAATTAAAACATGAGACAATCTAACTCTAGACTTACTCATGATCAATTAAAACATGAGACAATCTAACTCTAGACTTACTCATGATCAATTAAAACATGAGATGACCTGATTCTAGACTTACTCGTGATCCTTGTCAATTTTAGTTATCTTTGTCTTAGAGCTGACATCGTAAACCTTCACACCCTGCAATGTTACAGTATAAGAATCTCTGTGATCAACTTACACAGATGGGCCATTATTAATATTCATAATTGTACATGACACAAAGAGTTATTATCAGTCAAAGTCTACACCAGCGGCTACTAATTAGCTAGGACCAGCAGAACCCCTCTTATTCTCTATGGTCTGCCATAGAGCCCATACTTTTTGTTAAACTGAAGGACATTTTGGTTTTAATAAATATTAGAATTACATAAGGTATTGCATTCAAAAATTTGTGTTGATTGTTTTTTTTAATGATGTCACAGACCACTTAAATTTGTTTCTCACAAAATAAGACAGACTGCTCAAAACTCTATATATATGTTTCCATAAATAAATCTAATCCCTTACATTTATTAACTTCTTCAGATCAAGCAACACATTATGTGATTTGCTCATTTGTAAATCGCAACGGCATCATCATGTGCCATGACCAAAAAAAATGAAGGTCATCATGGTTTGTCCTAATATGATCCCCAGAATCACGAATCAGGTCTGCGTTTTTGTCCTGCTGAGCCCATGCAGCCAAGCCATTTAGGATTTTATCTCTGTCCTTCCCTTTGTACTTTTCCAATAAAGTTTGTCAGCTGTTATTAAGTTTTCAAGTTTATTTATCCTCATAACATGTCCACTGGGTCGACCTGCGACGTCCCATACCACGACAAAAATCCACGCAGCCTGCAGTGGGTTTCGATCGCGGTATGCTGGCTCACCCAGCCTAAAATGGGTACCAGGATGGGCTGTCCTGGGAAAGTAAAGACAGCCGGCGTAATGCTGACCACATTACCCACAGAGTGCTGATGGTCTGTAAAAATATGGGACGCTCTGCCCATATGCCCGATGCGCCGAAAGGCGTGAAAAGGGATCTTTACTTTTTTACTTAACATGTCCACAAATTCCTGACTGCCTATGTCCATAGTTTAAAGAATTAGGATTTTTCTTCTATGCAATATATGCTTATTTCTCAGTTAACTTTATTAGTTTATAGGTATATTAACTAAATTAACACATAACAATTCATTAATACATTCATCAACTAAATCTAAATCAGTTAAATACAAATAGAAAAGTGTATTAGAACATTCATCACCTAACTAAAAACCTAACAGTTAAGTTGAGTTGGGTCAAGAATTGACATCACAGCACTCAGGGCATTCCCATGCAAGCTCTGTTCTCATCTTCAGCAGCCAGCGCAGAGTTCCAATACTGATGGTACCGGTCACAATCTGGTTAAAAGTCCGTCTTGCCTTTTCTCTGAGTGTAGTGAGCCGGCAAGACCCTCTGGTTACACCCAGGTGCCTCATTCTCTCCAGGCCATAATAATCTTTTTTCTCTACTGATTCTCTGGCCCTGATCCTAATGACAGCATTAACCATCTAACAAGAAGGGACCAGGCCACCATCTTCAGACTTAGAACGCAACATACTCCACTCAATGGACACCTAAACAGAATATAGCCACAACACTCCCCAGAGTGCCAGCTATGTAACTACCCCTACGAAACTGTTGAACACATCTCTTTGAGTGCCCAAAACTCAGTGAGACAAGAAGAACGCTACTCCCTCTGAGACCAGACAAGTGGAACACCTTGTACGGAGGAAAAGAACAGCTTGTGAAAACATGCAAATTCCACTACATGGCATTGGGCCAAAGGGCGAAAGCTCATGCGCCGCTGGATCGACAACAACAACAACAACAACTCTACTGATTCTGTTGCTTGTTCCCAAAGGGTCTTGACCACATCTGCCTTGTCATGTATCAATTCAAAACCCATTAGTGCGGATCCAGCCAATCTGTCTGCCTGTTCATTACCCACCACGCCGGCATGGTCTGGAGAAAAGATCCAAAGTATGCTCACTCCCCATGACCTTTCCAGTGAAGCTAGCCACTCCTCGAAGCATCCCTGTCTTCACTTCTTTCAGCATGCTTTCAGAGTCTGTTACAATTACGATATGTGTATGCATTTTTTTCTCTAGCCACCAGAGAGCTGCAGTTACCGCCTCCACCTCCATTCTCATGCTAGATGTTGTGGTGTTATATGCTAGGCTGTCTTGCACTAAATATTTTTCATTGGCTTTCGCTACGAACCCCCAGGCACTTCTCTTTCCTCTCAATACTGAACCATCTGTATAGATAATCAGATCACCTGGGTGTGAATTTTTGTGAATCATCTGTTGGACTTCAACCTCTGAATCACCCGCTGGCCGCTCTTGGCACACCCGGCCCAATGTTATCATAACCCTACACAGGTTAGACTTTCCCGCTGGTACTCTGACCCACTCCTCTCCTCACCCAATGTTCTCCAGCATGCACACTTGTTTTATTGTGTCTTCTGCTTGAGCCATCCACGATTTTCCCCTTTTCAGCCTCTGACCCTTGCCTGCAGCCAAAGCTGCAGAGGGTGTTCCCTATCTGCAGCTACGCTTAGGTATGACTTAGCCTGCAGCACCTTTAGCCTATCTGCAATAGTCGGCTATGCAAGGATGTATCACAATCGGGGTGTCTCTTGTACAACCCAGGATCAGCCCCATAGCTTCATTCTGTATGTGCTCCAGTTTCTCTAGCTGACTCATTGAGACAGTGTGTAACCCCAAGCCATAATCAATCACTGAGATGATTAAGTGCTAGTTAAGTGTGAACACCATTCTCTGCTTCATGTCCATTGCTGCCATAATCTTTAGTGTGGTTATACATTTTTAAACCCTTGTCACAACCCCCTCTATGTGATCCCTGAAAGACAAACTTCTGTCAAAGGTGATTCCCAGGTACCGCATTCTGCTGTCTCTTTTGATGTCCCTGCCATTTATTTTGAGTCTGGGAACATCAGCTCTAACAATCCTGTTGTTCAAAGAACACCACAGGACGGTTGCCTTTTCTGGGTTGATTACAGCACTCATCTCTGTACACCAGTCTATCACCTTATCTACTGTTGCCTGTAACTCTTCAGCTATTCGATTCTGATCTCTCCCATTCCTATATGCAAGAATGTCATCTGCAAATGTCAATATTCTGCGAACTTCAGGTGTTTCCAGGCAGGCAATCTCGCCCATAAAAACATTGAATAGTACAGGTGAAATTGCAGATCCCTGTAGTAGTCCTGGAGCTATAATACATGGTTTAGAGGCCCATGAACCCAGGCCGAGAGCTACCCTGCAAATATACAAAACAGCTGCTATCCAATTCTGAAAACCTAACACTGCATGACTGCCCTAGTCATCTAAATAACACCTATAATTGTGTCATTAGTACTCTTGCTTAGTACCTCGCGAAGGTTTAAGGTTATCCAGACAGTGGAATAAACAGCCAAATGCCAAGCAGTCCCCTTATAGTCTACTGGCCCAGATTGTTATTTCACCTCCACTATTAGGTTATTGGCATCCTGTCAGCATCTGTGCCTTAGGCTTTGTGAAAATGTTTCATAATTCCAAGGTGAGGGGTTCAATCCTAACTGCAGAATATTTGGCAGCAGACCACCTTGCATTGGTTTGGAGAGTGATATTGGGAGCGAACCTTTCAGAAAGCAATGGCAAACCACCGAATGTAAAATTGCCTAGTGAAATCACAAGCAGCCCAAACATGCTTGAGTTAGTTCCACGATGTCTGTAAAGGATAGGCAACTAACTCAATTTGTTTTTTAACAATATGTGAAAGCAAGATTCCTAACTTATCAGCTACCTATGTCCTTTCATTTATGAACACTAATGTAATATTTATAGCAAATAAACATTAACCTTTAAACAGCTGTAAACTATATCTATTTTCCCTAATTATAAACTATGAAGGAAATAAAAACTTGAGTTTCAAACAATTTCAAACTTAACAGTACAGAAAAAACCCATTTAAACCCGATCAATGCATCTATGAGCATTAAGAAAAAACTTAAAAACATGTGAAACAGTTAATAAGCATCTCACTGAATTATATAAATTGTCAAACTTCAAAGAAACCTACTATAGTCACCTCAAAAACAAACAACAAATCACTCTAAAATCCATGTACAGCCCAAAAACTAGCTATTTAATCTAATTATTATGGACTGCCAAAAGTAAACAGCTCAACAGCAAGGACATAGCAACAACCACACAACACATCAGATGGTAGTCAACACAGAAAATAAAGAATCCAGAATACTGAACACTTACATTATTGTTGGCCCAAGCAATGAACTCTCCACCCCATTTGATGTTGCGGATTGGTCCTTCACCTTGGTGGAGAACAGTCATTTTGTGACGACCAAGAAATCCACTTCTTTCATTCAGAATTAACTGAAAAATGACATAATTAAAAACTGTAAAACTTTAAGGGGATGAAAAAGGTTAACAATCTGTGTTTACAACTGTTTGTTGAAGACATTCATGTGCATACTTACTTTGTCATTGAACAATGCCTACTTTTCCTGCTCCATCAGGGACTTGTACTAAATGTTATAGATTACGGTCTGGGCCTTCTCACTGTCAGCAGGACTCAGACAGACTGAACCGGGTACAAAATGAGACTTATGATATAAAAAGGATGTTTCTCAAAAGAGGCTACTCCTGGATGGCCGAGGCAGAAAATCAAATCCAGAAAGTATGGGAACAGATGAGATCAGTCAGGGAAAAGAATAGATGGACACACCAGTAGACATGCATGACTTGTCTAAGGTTGTCATAACACTGGGGAGGTACTGCAGGAATATGGTACCTTCCACCGTAGACACCGAGGTAAGGGCACTGATTGTTCAGCATTCACACCCAGAAGACATCATATTTACACAGATGGGTCCATGAAGCATGGGTCAAGATCAGCATGGGCGTACACAGATCGAAGGAAGGGGACAAAATATAAAAGAGGATAGCGGCACTTACCAGATGACTTTGTCAAGCATGACCATGAAACTGCTACTTCCAGAGCACTCGCATGGGTAGCAGAACAAGCGACCACACATGCGTTAATCATTTCAGACTCTGTGAACATGCTTCAGAAAATCGCTACAGGCAGTCTCCGCTCCGAATGGGTAGAAAGAATTCAGAAGTAGCACTTAACCTCCATTATCTGGATCCACACACCTGGGCACACAGGAGCAAATGGTAATGAAAGAGCTGACCAGCTGGTAAATAATGCACCAATGCAAATGGAAAGAAGCATGGACAGAGCTAACATCATCAACGCTGTAAGGTCTATGTTGGGGGAAAATGGTGAATCTCTGATGCTACCAGGACAGTGTGACCGAGGAGTCAAGCTTGGTGAAGCCTGATTATGTCGTCTTCGAGGTAAAAACAGAAGATACTATAACCAACTCCTCATGGAAACAATCAGTAGAGACACCTTGGATTGGCTGTTGTATCAGAGAACTGAGCATGCATGGTAATGCCCAATGTACAAAGACGTCAATAGTGATAACATAACTTACTTTGTCATCTCCAGTCACATACTGTCGTCCACTTGCAGGTTTGTAATAAAATGGATCTAGAGCAATAGCCTTGACAGGCCTATCAAAGGTTACCACTTGGTTGTTCTCAGTTGCATAAAGGCCTGTTATAATCACCTAGGAAAAAAACCATCCGCGAAATGAGTTAGTATGCAACATGTGAGCAAACACTTTTGCACTTTAATGTGAAGGAGTCCAAGTTTGTGCATGGAGACCAATGATAACTGTAATCTTTCTCTATGTAAACACAACTTAGGATAGACAAAGCCCTTCTTCCACCTCTTCTTCACCTCATGCCCTGAATGAAGAAAATGCTGCTCAGGGCATCACTGTCCTTGCCCAACAATGTGTTTATGACACTATACCAGTGAGTGAGTGAGTGAGTGAGTGAGTGAGTGAGTGAGCGAGCGAACGAGTGCCTGCCTACACATGTACGCGCACGTGTGTGTGTGTGTAAATTCTTATCCCAATATAATTCTACTGTTTTAGCTTTTTTTTTTATTATTATTTATTTAACTTGTTTAAATGTCTCCCCCATTTTCTCAGATGCCTTCATATTTATTACATTTCATAATACGGTCCTTCATGTCCATATTTCCCTTATTATATGTTTACAGTTTATTGTTGACTGTAGATGTTTATAACCTCTGTTGTCTTGTTTACTGGGTTTTCAAGTAACAATTTAAATGTGATGTATTTAGTACTCCGATGATTAAGACATTCATCAAACCACTCGCACATATTTTTGAGCATCTTTTCCATTGGTTTGCCGAGCTTTCTAGTCAGTTTGTGTAGTTTTTATTAATTCTTGATGGTGATTATGTCGTGTGTTTAAATAGGTCTGTTATTTGAAAGCATGCTTACCCGTCCATCATCTGAGCAGCTTGCCAAATAATCGCCATTGTCGTCTATACTGATCTGGTTTACTGTGGTTGTATGCTGTTAAAATAACACAAATTAGATTGATAATGACAGTAGCACAAGGTGATTCTATGAAGGATTGAGTGAAAAAAATGATGTGCCATCTCTATAATGAAGACTGGCTATAGTGTACCACTGTTGTCTTTGGGAATGTTACACTGTGATGCAATGTCAAACACGGTCACTGTCTTTAGAAGCAAAATAGTCAAGACAGAAATGGAATGTTTACATGCCATGCTAGGTGTAATGAGGAAAAATTGACTTAGGAACGATGATATCAGGAGGAGAGTCGGCACAGAACCAATAATAAACTTTTATCAGTAGACAACAAATCACATGGTTCGGCCATGTAACAAGACAGGCATCAGACAGGGCAACACAGAGAGCAATGTTATAAAGATATAGCGGTAACAGATCCAGAGGTTGACCATGCAGAATATGGACCACAGAAATATCAGACACTGAAAAATACTTCATTCAAAGCGAACAGAAGGGCCCGTTCTAGTAATCTCAAGGTATCCCAGGAGTCGAGAAAAGAAGAAGAAGAAAGAAGGAGAAGAAGAAGAAGACACTGTGAGGCCTCAATCTCTTCCATGGCACGACTCTTGTACTATTGTCTAAAAATGACAAGAAGATTTTTTTTTTTTTTACTGTCCACTGCAGGGATGAACCCTAGTACTCAAAGATCATGAAAAGTTATAAGCATCCACTAACCCCTAAGCCACCAAAAGGTGTAATAATAAAGGATATTAAGTGTAGCAAATAGGATAGATGGAAATCCTGTAGTAAAGAAATGGGTACAACTTATGAAAGTCACCCCATCTTGCCGGCCGTGTGATTTTGCAGTGGTTTCCATGTGCTGTCCTATGTTGTAGGGTTGTCATGTGTTTCTCGTTTTGACCATTTTAAGCACATCCACCACCGATAAACAGCTACTGCCAACAAGCATAAAAATACAAAAACATCAATGATTTGATACTCATGAATTATCATGCCTTTGGTGCTTCCCCCTCCAGTACTTCTTCCTTGCACACAGGCGCATTCGGAGCCTGAGACCTATTCACAACAACAGCACATTCCAGACACAAAAGAAATCTGTAACAAGAAAGCTGCGCAGTTTCATCTGTGAGACAGTGTGTTGACCTCGCTAAATGAACTTGAGCCACTTTTCAGCACACTGTGTGTGGACGACGAAGGAAGACATCTCATAGCACCCCTACAACATAGGACAGCCCGTGGAAACCGCTATGAAATCTCACTGCCATCAAGATGGGGTGACTTTCGTGAGTAGTACCAAGAAATGAATAAAAACTCACCATATTAAAACTCTGAAATTATGCAGGCATGTCTGTATTTGGTCGAATATATCGTCATCCTGATGTTCCATCAATATATCACACAGGGTTCACTGTAGACTTCTCAATTTTCTTATAGCCTGTGCAATTCTTCCAATATCATGGAATCCAGTCTGACACCTCTTGCATCTGTCATCAATTTTTGTCACTGAGTTTCTCTTTGATTTCACTTCAGAATTCCATGTTTCCCCTTTCAATATTTGTTTTGTATTTCTTCGCCCACTTTATCTCAGAATGTGTTCTTCTTTCTCCTATAACTGCTGTCACCACCGGTTGTTCAGACACTTCTCTGATTATAATTTTTTATTTTCACTTTTCTTGAATTTATCCCATTTACTGGGGGTCTACAGTGTAGCATAATTGTTATACTTGTCTGCCACTGAATTCCTCTTCTTCAGTTTTTCTTTCCCTTTACAGCCCCTTTTCTCTGTCTCAGCTTTTAGTATTATTGGTATTAGGAGGTGAAAGAAATCAGATTTTTATTTTTGAAAACTTGTATGGTGGCACAGTGGTTGTGAATACCCTACACAGTAATGAAGATGTCTCGACAAAAACTGACTCACAGAGAGAAGAACTGATTTGCCACATCAGAAGTAAACAATCTAAATTCTTTTGTCATGTCATGAAAAGGAGAAAACTGGAGTGCATCGTGATGGTGAAAAAGTTGGAGGAGAAAAGAGGCAGATGAAGATTGGGTCATGGTTTGCACATTTATTGTCCTTATATTTGTATTTCCTCTATTAATTTTTAGCCCTACCTGCAGCGACCTCCTAAGAAGAGGACTCAACGTTTATTACCGTCATCTCCTTGTGAGATGCAATTTTTTGTTGCCAGAGGCCGCAATATAGCCTGGCCATAAATATAGCCTAATGGCTGAAAGCGGTTTCTGGGACCTCTCCTAGGTGATCCTCATCACATGGTGGCACATTGGGTAATCCGTGTTTATCGCTTGTGTGATGTCCTGGTGGGGTAGAAAGTAGGTCAGTCAGTCACCTCCTAAGAAGAACTTATATGGTTAAATTTTTCGTTTTTTGAAGCCCCACCCTGGCTCTTGCCAGGGGCGGCAATATAGCCCGGCCATAAATTTGGTCTAATGGCTAAATGCGGTTTCTGGGACCTCTCCATGGGTGATCCTCATCCACATGGGAGCACTTTGTGTCATCAGGTGTTTACCACTTGTGTAATGTCCTAGTGGGGTAAAATGTACTAATACTACTACTACTTCCTAAGAAGTAATAAACCACAGAAATTAAAGAAGTCTGTGACAGTCCTGCACACTTACCGCTATAATCTGTCACAGTGCTACATGCTTACCGCCACAATCTGTGACAGTCCTACACACTTACCGCCACAATCTTTGACAGTGCTACAAACTTACCGCTACAATTTGTGACAGTGCTACACACTTAATACCACAATTTGTGACAGTGCTACATACTTACCTCTATAATCTGTAACATTGCTACAGACTTACCGCCACAATTTGTGACAGTGCTACACACTTACCGCCATAATCTGTGACAGTGCTACACACTTACCACCATATCTGTAACAGTGCTACACACTTACCGCCATAATCTGTGACAGTGCTACACACTTACCTCTATAATCTGTAACAGTGCTACACACTTACCGCCACAATTTGTGACATTGCTACACACACTTACCGCCATGTCTGTGACAGTGCTGCACACTACTGCCACAATTTGTGACAGATCTACACACTTACCACCATAATCTGTGACAGTGCTACGTACTTACCACCACAATCTGTGACAGTGCTACACACTTACCGCCACAATTTGTGACAGTGCTACACACTCACCGCCATAATCTGTGTCAGTGCTACGCACTTACCGCCATGTCTGTGAAAGTGCTACACACTTACCGCCATAATCTGTGACAGTGCTACACACTTACCTCTATAATCTGTAACAGTTCTACACACTTACCGCCACAATTTGTGACATTGCTACACACACTTACCGCCATATCTGTGACAGTGCTGCACACTACTGCCACAATTTGTGACAGTGCTACACACTTACCACCATAATCTGTGACAGTGCTACGTACTTACCACCACAATCTGTGACAGTGCTACACACTTACCGCCACAATTTGTGACAGTGCTACACACTTACCGCCATAATCTGTGACAGTGCTACGCACTTACCGCCACAATCTGTGACAGTGCTGCACACTTACCGCCACAATCTCCTTGTCCCTTATATTGTTCCCAATATGATCTAGGATGTGAATCATCCCCCAGTGAGTTCCAAGAGCCAAAAACTGGAACAAAATAGTCACATTTAAAACAAAGAAATAGTTAGCAGGAATGTCACTTCCTCTTCTTCTTCTTCTTTAGTATTCTGAGCACTTGAGGGTCATTGCTGCAGATATTACCCACCTCAATTCGTCTCTCTGGTTGGCCTCTTTTCAGTTGGTGACACCAAGTACTTGTAGGTCTGGCTGGATATTATCTCTCCATCATCTTCTTGGTCTGCCTCATGGTCTACAACCATTTATCTTTATTGTGTAAACAGTTTTTACCTCTCTCTCATTTGACATTCTCTCACTATGCCCAAGCCATTTCAGTCTATAAGCACTCTTGATGCCAGTGTTCAGTGGTGATTTACACAAAACTATGGATTTCGTTGTTGCTTCTCACTCTCCATTCCAAGCTGTTTGCCTTTGATAAGTCCAAAGATTTGTTGTATTTTGAACATTTCTAATAAGGCTTCATCTCTTTTCAGTTATGCTCCAAGTTTCAGAACCATATAAGACAACTGGTCTTATCAGTGTTTTATATATTTTTATCAAGAAAGAGACTTTGACTTTAGAAGATGTTGAAGGGTACAGTATGCTTTATCTCCAGATTGCATTCTAAATTGTATTTGTTAAACCATGCTGGAGCAGCTGAAGTTTGCACCAAAGTACTTCTATGTTTCCATTTGTCTGATTTTCATATTATTGATTTGTATGTATAGTTATATAGAAGATGTATAATTATTTTCTTAAACTGTTAACATAGGTGTATAATTTCTTTTCAGACATCCTGTATATAGTATCATGTTCAAACTTTTCGGTATAGGAAACATGGAGTCGTGTCCCTGTAGCATGGCACCGGAAAATGCTGAGCATGTGCTCCAACACTGTCAACTGTATGCTGCCAACAGAGACATAATCTGGCCTGTCCCAACCATAATGAAGACAAAACTGTACAGCACACAAGGAGATATGGACTGCACAATGGCTTTCCTACCCTATATACATACTTTTAATTCAAACACCCTGTGTAAAGTCGCATGTATAACAGACTATGCAATGCATACTTACTTTTAATTTAAACACCCTGTGTACAGTGACATGTATAACAGACTATGCAATCAACATCAAATTACATTTATTCTAATTAGTGAAACTTTATAGGATGAAAAAGTTAATGAAGCACATCAAAATCTATATTAACATTTCCTTAGAATGTTTACTATTGTAGTCTCCCGTAAACATTTATTAAACAAGTTGCAACATCATTACACTACCTTTGGATGCACCGCAATACAACTTGCAGCATCTTTGTGAAGTATAGTTGTCAAGTCATTTGCCAGCCGTTCATACTTCAACTTTGGCTCAATTTCCTAAAAATGATCAAATAAATACTATTATTATATGTATATATAAGATAAAGATGGAAGCTGTGGAGATGTGGTTTTATAGACAAACAATGACAATACCTTGGACAGATTTTTTTTTAAATTTTAGAATGTCTTGAAAGAAACTGACTCACAAAGAAAACTGATTGCTCACATCAGAAGGAGATAATGTGCATTCTTTGGTCATGTGAGAAAACTGGAGTACCTCATGATAGTAGGAAAGTTGAAGGGGAGCAGAGGCAGAGGGAGACCGAGAGAGGCTGCTGGACAGTCTGACATCATGGCATAGAGGATTACCTGCCTCAAAACTGATTGAAAGTACACACAGAGGGCTGCGGATGGACATGACTACCAACAACACAAAACATGCATTTTAAGAATAAGAAGATACAAATACAAATGAATTTAATTTAAATGTAAAGGATGATTATCACACCAGTTACACATCAGACATATGATGCTATATTGTATTTTTATAAAACATTTTGCTGACAAAACAGAACACAAGCTTGGTTCTATAGATAATAGAAAGACGGCATAAGAAAGGATGTGCATACAACTATATTAAAACCCACAACAAAGTTTGAACCAGATTTATCCTCCTAAACTAAAACTTACAAGCTAAAAAAAGGAAAGAGGACAAAGGCATAGATAGTTAAAAATAAATGTTACAATGTAAAAATAACATCTGAATTTCTTATGAAGCTTAAGAAGAAGAAATAAAAGCTGCTAAGACTAGAAAGGAGCAAACGTTATACATAATAAGCTGTTTTTAAAAAAGAAAAGACCCTTTCCACGCCACTGGTACAGAGGGATATGGTGTTAACCCTTTCACACTGTTAAGGTCTTCAAATATGACCTTTTCACAAAGCCTGTTAGAACTCTGCCCTTAGAAACCAGAGTAAGAAAAGAAGAAGCAGAAGTACTTGGAAATCTTGGTCAGGTTTTCTTTAATAATCCAAGGGGTTAGGATATATGACCACCAAACAGACAGACAAGTGTGCATGTAACATAAAAATATTGTTACAATTTTTGTAGAATTATATTTACTGGCACTGCATTACATGAAAGCAAGTATCCAGTAAACATAAATTCAGCGTATAATTAAATGCATTCATCCCCTTTGGTCAATCAACAGTTACCCCCTGGATATTGTGTCCCGGATGGATATGATGCCACACTGACTAAAAAGGACATTTTTCACAAGAAATTTTTCACCACAGTCAGCAAATCTTTACACTACCCAATCACACAAAAATACCAGAGATGATATACAGGTGTAGCGGCATCTGCCAAAAGTCATAAGGCCAAATAAAATTCCCAAAATCATTACAAGCCATGAAAAAGGCACTAATGAAGTATCGTATCGTATCGTAAAAATCAAACAAAAATTCCAAGCTTAGTCCTTTTTTAGCCGCCTGCAGGCCTGCTTTATCATGGACGGTTCCTTTGCTATCTTATTTAAGTTCTGTTCCTTTGTGGTGAACAATTACACCTGAGATTGTTCTTTGTTTGCCCAAGTTCGATTCGGGTTTTAGGGATCCTGGTTCCCGTCTTTGGCTGTCCGCTGGCCATTGCACTGATCATCTGTGCAAGCACCAAGGCAGTCCTCAGTCACACCACCGCGAAGCAAACAGTTCTGCAGATTGAGCGTCCCAACTAATGGAGTGAGAAAGTTAAACCTATATTTTTATAGACCATCAAAGAGTAAGATAAGACCAGTCAAAGAGTCAGATATGACCAATCAAAGAGACAGCTGTGACCAATCAAAGAGGCAGATGTGACCAATCAAAGAGACAGATGTGACCAATCAAAGAGTCAGATATGATCAATCTGGTCAGACAGCTGTGACCAATCAAAGAGACAGATGTGACCAATCAAAGAGTCAGATGTGACCAATCAAAGAGTCAGATATGACTAATCAAAGAGTCACATATGACCAATCAAAGAGTCAGATATGACCAATCAAAGAGACTGATGTGACCAATCAAAGAGACAGCTGTGACCAATCAAAGAGACAGATGTGACCAATCAAAGAGACAGATGTGACAAATCAAAGAGACAGATATGACCAATCAAAGAGACAGATATGACCAATCAAAGAGACAGATGTGACCAATCAAAGAGACAGATGTGACCAATCAAAGAGACAGATATGACCAATCAAAGAGACTGATGTGACCAATCAAAGAGACAGATGTGACCAATCAAAGAGACAGATGTGACCAATCAAAGAGACAGCTGTGACCAATCAAAGAGACATATGTGACCAATCAAAGAGACATATGTGACCAATCAAAGAGTCAGATATGACCAATCAAAGAGTCAGATATGACCAATCAAAGAGTCAGATATGACCAATCAAAGAGTCAGATATGACCAATCAAAGAGACAGATATGACCAATCAAAGAGTCAGATATGACCAATCAAAGAGTCAGATATGACCAGTCAAAGAGTCAGATACGACAAAGCTGATGTTTAACAGTACTCTTTTAACACTGAATGTTGGGCAACATAACTTCCCACTTGTTCTTAAAGCTTCAGGTTGAGAGCACATAAGAGAACATACTAGCAACCTTATCCTAGAATGAGGAAATGCAATCAGAAAACAATGTTTTGGCAGGACCCTTAGTCTTGGTTGGCAGCTGGTCGGGGACGAAAACTCCAACATGTAGACAAAGAGAGCACTTCTCTCCTTTTTTTTTTTTTTAATCGATCACCGGCTGTGAATTCTAGTGGAAGGTCCCGGTTAATCGTCCGCTTGGACTTTTGGCTTTCACCTGGACCTGATTTTTGCGTGTACAACCGTTTTTAATTTCCCTGCCTCATGGGCAGCTGTACTCCGACTTCGAAGGAAAACTTCTCTCCTGATCTAACAGCTTTTTCGGCATGCTTTGTTTAAAATTTATTGCTGTTAAATGGTCTTTGGAGTTTAAAAATGCAGTCAAGGCGGCTCTGAAGCGGATAGAAGAAAATATAATACACAGAGGAATTATAGTGACTGATTCTCAGTCATAACAGCAGAATCAGAAGGTTCAAAATGAACAAATGTGGCATGAGTGGATACCGAGCATCAGCATGTCAACATTACAGGGACTCATGTGGATGTACTGCCCAGTATATACAGGTGTGCGGGGAAATGAAAGAGCAGATTTTCCAACTACAAAAGTGACAGTTTCAGGAACACTCATAAAGGATAAAGGGGACGTTCTAAAAACCATTTATGAATTAATGCTGATAGAAGACATGAGATTTGATGAAATAACCTGTGTAAGAATGTGTAAACAAGGAAGAAGGTGTGGATCAGGCAAGGAGGTACATATGGAAGGAAGAGAGTGACAAGTTTATATGCCATGAAGAGAAGGAACTTCATCTTTAGCCTGGTATCAAAATGGAGGGCCCTTTGGAAGCGAGTGAACAGTGAGGAGGCACAAAGAGATCATTACTGTCTGAGGAGAATGGCACTGCGAGGAGTTACCAGAGGATCTGGCCGATGATCAACACTCAAGGGAAAGGTGATAATGATGTTCAATCAGACAGTTACTGGTACCACTGAAACTGGAACTCTTTGCTTGCCGCTGAAGATGGGGACTGGGTGCTTATGGGAGTGTATAGAGTGCTGTGCTGTTGATTCTTAATTCAACTTTACTTTTACTTTTTCCTTCCACGTATGCCGCTAAGCGTTGTGGGGAGATGCAAGTTCCTGTCATAAGCAAGGCGGGAAGCATCTGATGTTCTGAGGCCATGCTTTTGGCAGGTTTCGGAGACCCCGTCAATCCACCGTTTCCTTGGTCTTCCTCTTGCCTTATATCCTGAGCTTCTTTGGTTGAAAATTTGTGATGTTATTTGGTCATTTTTCATCCTGGTTAGATGTCCAAACCATTTCATTCTTTGATGTTCTATGTAGTCTAAACATGGTGTAGTTTTGACAGTGTTTCTAATGTCTATGTTCTTTATCCTGTCTAGTCTGGTCTTATTCGCTGCTTTTCTTAGACATTTCATTTCACAGGCTTCTATTTTTCTTTCATGGGTCTTGTTGATTGTCCATGTCTGGCACTGGTAGCAGAGTGTTGGAATGAAGATGGTGTTTATCAATTGTCTTTTGGTCTTCATGGTTATATCTGGATGTTTAAGCAGAGGTGATAGTTGGTATGTGACAGCATTTGCTTTCTGTATTCTTGTTTCTATCTCTCTGTCCATTCTTCCATCCTCTGTAAATATACTGCCCAAGTATTTGAACTCTTTGGTTTGCTTGATTTTGGCACTTCCAACATTTATATTCAGTGGCCTGTGTGTTCTGCTGATCTTCATAACTTCTGTTTTTTCTGTACTGATTCTCATATTATGTTGTGAACAGCTGTTGTTGAGAGTAGTCAGATGTTCCTGTAGATCATATTCATTTTGATACAGTATGCTTTGATCATCAGCAAAAAGTAATTCGTTTATAGCATACACGTCTGGGTTTGCTTCTACAGTGATCTTATCCATGTATGTTATGAAAAGTAATGGTGACAGTACACATCCTTGTCTGACACCAGTTGTGACTTTGAACCATTCAGAAAGACCACTAGATGTTCTTACTGCACTTTCACTTTTTTCAACACTGACATCAAAATGGGCTATGATTCCCATGTCTCCCTGCAGCTCAAAGGAATACTATTATCTGGAAAGTCGGAAAGGTCCTAACACAATTAGATCATTCAGCATATGATGAGTGACGTTATCATCATCACTCTGGGCAGCTTTACTTCCCAGGATATTTCCTGGTACTAGTTTTTAGACTGGGTCAACCTGAGAGCCCAGATCAATCCTAAAAATTTGCTTCAATGCACACTTCAAATTGTATAATAGTTAAATTTTAAAAAAGGATATGATTTTCAGTTTACGCTAAACAGATTCCCCAAAGCCTTGCAAATTATCGTGGATTTTTTAAAAAGTGATTGTTTTTCTGAATTTATTGCACTGTCGTAATGCTGAAGGAGAA